AGTATACCGCAAGCTGCTGCTTGCGGTATACTGAGACGCCGCAGCTGAAGCGGATCCCGATGGGCATCTGGGTGCCCCCTTTCATAAAGGGGGCACCCAGATCCCGTCTCACCCTCGTGAATGAGTAAGGGTTAGTTGTTACCCCTACTCATTCACAAAATAACAGTAAAATAGTAATAAATAAACACATTGCACCATGTTCTAAAGTCCTTTATTTGGAATAAAACACGACACAGTTATTGACAAGTCCTTTATTCAAAACCCCCCCCACCCAAAAAAAAATGTCCATGTATGTAATCCACAAGTCAATCACATCATCTAGTATTAGTAGATCCTCGAGTGAGTCATTACATCACGGGACTTGCCTCGCCCCATTGATTACATTCAGTGACAGCTCTTTGTCCCCTAATGGAATGTAAACAAAGGGGCAGAGCAAGTCCTGCAATGTCATGACTCGTTCGTAGTTCGGTGTACTCTTCTTTCAGCTCTGAGGTATGGGTGGATACAAACGAACATTGGCTCCATAGTTTAATGGCAGTGGAAATAGGCCTAAAACTGATGGCATAGGAGGTGTCATTCTAAAAAAGACAACTAGAGCTACTGCCCTTAGATTTGTGTGGATTCAATGTGGACAGTGGCACTGTAGTTTTAAAGCCCATTTCCACGTTTGCTGAGGTATTTAAAAAAAAAAAACATTTGCTAGCAATGTACACCAAGTGTATATGAAGCAGGCATGTGCAGTTGATGTATATGAACACAGAAACGTAAAGGTTTTGTTAGCTTTCCTCTTCATGTCCTAATGGAAATGGCCAGCTCTGCGCTCTGAAAGCAATGGGTATAAATTACAACTGAGCTCCCCACCCCCCTACCCCCTATTCATTAGCATCCATGTGTGTGTTGTAAAGTAGCCATCGTTCCAAGCTCACTTCTGTGATGGACTACAATTTCACGTTTAGTTTACTCATTTGCATTGAGATTGTAGTCTATCACAGGAGCAGTGGCTACTTTATGACACACACAAGGACCATGGAGAACAAAAGTAGCCACCCTCCAGAAGGAAGGACAGTGTCAGCAGGAATTCAGAGATGATTTGAGGATCTACAGCCGAGTGATACACAAATAAGATACATTTTTATTAATAGTTAAGGTACTTTTAAGATTTAACTCCTGAGTTTAGTGTCACTTTAATCTACAGCCTGCACAAAGGGCATAGAAGTATTCATTTGACTCACTTTAAATTCATGTTTGTTTTTTTTTACATTCCTCAATGTAAGTTATGGAATAAGGTGCCATCCCTGACCATACCGCGTTATAATACAGTCAATAGGGTTATAATACAGTCAATATCTTTGGAGAATGTATAAATATTTAGAGGTAAGCAAACGCGTGCAGCAAAGAAGGGTCTACATTAGAGAGCGTTGTTTAAGATATAATGGCACACAACTGTTCCTACATAAAACCGCTAACTGGCTCCCACTACTCCCACAGGATCTCTGTCTACAGTGGCAAAATAACAGTACGTTAAAACGCTAGGATATGATTCCATACAAAAACATAGCAAAGACAAATAAAACCCAGTGGAGCGGGGCTTCCTGAAAAGTTCACAAAGTGCAAAGAATTTCACAACCACAGACAGACACCTTGGTGTGTTTGGGATTTTCAGGTACTAGCCTAGTTATCAAATCACATTAACCTATTTCATGCTGGCTAGAAATTGCGATTGTATAAAATGAATATTGGATTCCAGAAGTGCTGGATTCTTCCTTGCAGACCATAGCGATAACTGATTGATGATACGTCCTTGTTCTGCGGCTCTTCGTATCGGGAGAATGACACTGATTAATATGGTCAGAGTCACAAGTTAGATATTTACAGTACATTCACAATAACAATTCTCGGCGTATGAAACAAAATCCACTAAATCTGTAAGTAATTTAGCAGAATGGGATTTTCCTTTCTGCTGCCTGCCAGTTGCTCTTCTCTTCCAAATTTCCACAGCAGGGGAAGCCTATGACTTACATAATGACTTTAGCATGCAGGCTTATTTATATATATATACAATATATATTTTCCATTAAGTTTTCTTAGCTTCTTACTGTTCTTATTGAATAACAGGTAATAGTGTTAATTGCAGGAGGACAGACATATGACGCATGGGTTATGGGAATTTTGGCATTGCAGTATGTCTACGTCAGAAATCTAGAGCCATTATTAGGGCTGCAGTAAAGAACTGAAGTACTGAAAAAGTTGGGTTATTGTCCCATAGCAACCAATCAAGTACTATTCTCTACCCTACACTAGAGGATCGACAGCTGGAGGCACAGTGGTTGCTATTGGCAACAACTCCACTTTAGCTGTCTCAGATTATCGTAAAATCGCCATCCACCACAACCGATTTAAATTGCTAAACGTTCTACTCAACTTTAAAAAAAAAAAAGCCCAGCCCAGTAAAATAAAATCATTAGCTTTCACTGCAATACTTACCTTGCATCTAGTGCCGTCACCTGCAGAATATCCACTAGATGCTGCTCCTTTTATTGGTTGACTGACACTCAGCATTATTCAACCCACTTCCTGTGAGCCCAGGCTGTCATGGACACACCCCTTGGGGGCTCGGTTCACAGTACTGCTGCACAGAACAGAGCTAACATATGGTTATGTGAGTACCATTCTGTACAGGAGTAAGGAATGCCCACTGCCAGGGCAAGATAAGTTCAGTGATGCCACATGACTGGCTAGAAGACTGATTTATAGTAGAACTGAAGCCAAAACCTAATTATTTTTAGTTTTGTATATAGTAAGGTCAGGTTACAACCTCTGTCAGCTCTTTTTCCCCATCTGTCTCCCATTGGGGAGATTTCCCTTTACATCCTGCCCAACAGCCACAACAGGAAGTGACTGAAAATCCCTTGAAAGAAAGAAAAATCTCTGATGGCCAGCAGGGTCACAAGAACTAGTGACCCCTTTGCATGTTTTCCCATCTATTCCTGTTCTGATGACAACCCAAAATTTGGGATTTTCATTCACGTTCAGTGATAACAGTCACCGGAACACATAGAGAGAGGACAGAGACAGCAATAAAAACCTAATAGGTGTTCTCATCTCTCTCTACGTCATCCAAAACAAAACAAAAAATGTCTTCAGTTGTACTTTAAGATACGGTTTGTAAAACTGTGATTTAAAAAAAAAAAAAGTGAGGGAATGGAAGGTGGGTAAGGGTGAAGTCCTGGATTTGGACTTTAAAGCGGACCTTCACATTCAAAAATCAAATTATCCCAATGCATCCCTCTATGTATGATGATTAATAATAACATAGACATGTCAGGAGTAAAGTGCTGTGATTTTGAAATACTTACACTTGCAGAGCATTCACTTCCTGCTTTGAGAGGGCAAAATGCCCACTGGGATTGCCTTGTCATCAGCAGATCATTGCTGGAAAATCTCATCTGTATTCTCATGAGATCTCAGGGAAAGGCATTTTCATCCCCTGCGACGATGTGCATGGTCACATGTCCTAATCACATGACTAGTCACACACACAGAAATCCAGGAAGTAAAAGGAGAGCTAGTAATCTGCCATTAGTAAACATGGCCACTGTGAGAAGACTGGAAAGAAAAGAGAAATAAGGTATAAAAAATGTGCCCTTGGTCTAGTGGTGCAGATAAAGAAGATATAGTAACCTGATCCTGAGTCTAAAGGTGGTCAGCGCTCACCCCTCCTCCGCTCAGGCTATGGAATTTCCCTTGGCATCCTCACATCTAATATAAGTCAATGGGCCTGCATAAGACGTGATGACGTCAGTGGTACTTAGGCCGCCGGAGGCAAGAATAGAGGCTGCGGGGAAAGGAGGGAGCCAGCAGGACTGAGGATCAGGTGAGTAATACAGCTTTAATAGTGTCCCCTACACAAAACAAGCACTTAGCCCTTGCAGCACAGTGGTAGCCCCACTACAAGGGTAAGCTTATTTGTCTAGAGTTCTTCTTAAAGTACAAACATGCAACTAATGATCTCAGGACTTTTGATCTGTAAACGTGCTTGAAGTCAGTGAGTCATAATCAGCTTCTATCTTCAGTTTGTTCAGCTAAAAAAGAACTCTGGGCAAAGGTGTAGGATTGGGTGAGTATAACTTTTTTTAACCTAGACAAAAACTAGCATTTTTGGGGGGTAGCCCCACTGGAAGGGTTAATAAAAATCTGCCCGGACTTCTGCTTTAAGCTTTAAAAAGATGAAAACTAGAAGCTGATTGCTTGCCATGGGCAATGGCTCCAGATTCTGTCTGCCCAGTTCTGATAAATCCCCTTTGCTATGCATTGGCTTCTAAACGCCAGCGTGAGACGTGAACTTTTCTATCTCTAACATGCCATTAAGTGGAAGTAATGAGATATTTAACCCATACAAGACATGTCCTAGCATCTGAGGTCAGCCCAAGTGTTCCAACTGAATGCTGCTGGTGGAGGGGGGTGAGATCATTGAAGGCTCCCAATCACTCATCAGCAGAGAAGGGGAACTACAAGCTGAGCAGTGACACCCAGCACACACCCCCGGTCTGCACTCTCAGGCACTAGAGGAGTATGGGACGTCATGAGCCTTATGAGCTGGGGGGAGGGGAGGGGGAGAGGGGGAGGGACAGAGGAAGGTGCTGTGTGTGTGGAGGGTGTTTTCCAGCTTTAAAAAGGCAGCAGGCACATCGCAGGTCTGCGTCAGAGAGAGACTTGGAGACTTTACTTAACTCCCAGCTTATAAAGCAAACAGCTAGAGAGGAAAAGAAACCAGCAAGTCCCTGTAATAAGTGCATGCCACTTCTCTGTGCACACTCAGCTGTCACACTCTGCACCCATTTACCAATGCCACAACTGCCGTTGTCACCTGTCTGCAGGCTGTGTTCTGCACCCGAGCTGTCACTGATTGCAAGTCAAGTTGCAGCAAGGGGGGTATAGGCGACACATCGATCGGATCAGGTCACACATGTGCACACTCCCTGCCATCGTCTAGAACAGGATCTCACAGTGTTATAATTAGTTTGCAGGACGGTGACAGATCCCAGTCTCTGAGTCTGCTCGCTGATCATCAGGTGGAAAAATCTGAGTCCAGAGGCGGCCAAGAATTGCTCGGATCGCCGAGTGGATGCCACGCACTAGTGTAGCAGCTGCCGCTCCTTCCAGTCTTCCCTTTGGTCCGCTGCTGCAAGCCTGCGTCAGAGACACCGTGGAGTTCCAGCCCTTCTTCCCATTCATCATGAAGTCAGCGGAGGAAGGTATTGACGGTGTCTGTCTGTCTTTCTGTGTGTGTGTATGTGTGTGACATGTGCTGGAACTTCTGTCACTCTTCTGTACACATCGATCACGGATCTGGCTGATCTAGTATTGTCAGATCGCTCAGTCCATTGTTGGTCCCCATGTCCTCTGTGTGTTTGTGTGTATGTGACATGTGTCGATCAGTGATCACATGTGCAGTAACTTCTGTCACTCTTCTGTACACATGGATCACGGATCTGGCTGATATAGTATTGTTGGATCACTTAGTCCAGTGTTAGTCCCCATGTCGATCAGAGATCACATGTACAGTAACTTCTGTCACTGTCTTCCCGATCTTCTGTACAAATCGATCAATGATCTGGCTGATCTAGTATTGTCTGATCGCTTGGTCCGGTGTTGGTGCCCATGTACTCTCTGTGTGTGACATGTGTCCATCATAGATCACATGTGCAGTAACTTCTGTCACTGTCTTCCCGATCTTCTGTACAGATCGATCAATGATCTGGCTGATCTAGTATTGTCTTATCGCTTAGTCGAGTGTTGGTCCCTATGTCCTCTGTGTGTGTGACATGTGTCCATCAGAGATCACATGTGTAGTAACTTCTGTCACCCTTCTGTACCGATGGATCAATGATCTGGCTGATCTAGTATTGTCAGTTCGCTCAGTCCAGTGTTAGTCCCCATGTCCCGCGTGTGTCTGGTCTGGTCTGCTGTCACAGCCTTTTATCTCCCCCTCTCATTGAATGAGATCTGTCAGTGTGTGGATCAAGCGGCATGAGTGGAGCTGTCACCCTGCCAGCCATAGATAGCCCGATGTGTGCATGCCTCATCGTCTGAGAGTTCTTATCAGCGGCATGTCTGCCATGGGATGCTGCATTTAAAGTGACAGCTTGTATATAGTATGATCCCAGGCTTTGATTGCTGGATACTGTTCATCCAATACACCAGGGCTAGTCTTGTCATTTAAGAATGGATTCAATGATGTGATTGAGTATCTTAGTAACAGTTTGCCTAAATCAGAGGTATGGATGTGATTTGTGTAAAAGCTAGATAGGATAGTACCTGAGACTTAACTCCCTGCATCAGTCCATGCTGGGACCATATGTGTGATGGGCAGCATTGAAGGAGATGCTGGGGAGGTGTTTAGACAACAGAGATGTCCCAGCTGAACATTCTTTCCTGCGCTTCCATCTGACAATTGTCATTTATTTGTGTCTCATGTCTGTTCTTTCTTTAGCAAACTTCTTGAATATTGTTTTATATATACACTGGATCAAAGAGCTTTGTGGTGATGGAGAGGCTGCCCATAGCAGCCAATCAGGTTGTATTTGTCTAATGGTTGCTATGGACTAGTTTGTCAGTTTTCATCACTTATCCCCAAACTGTCATTGAACTTCCTCTGAGTGTCCATTTGAGCAATGAAGCCACCTCATCAGTGTGACTAGAACCCAGGAGCCCAGGACAAGCATCAGACTAGTGGAATCATAGAAATAGACACTTCTAATAGAAATTTCATGTTGGTGAACACTTTAACACTAATAAATGTATAATACAATTTTATTATACATTAATGTGACACTAATATATATATATA